GGGCTGGTTGCTTCTGCACGGTTCCGTTCTCACGTCCCGCTGCCGATTTGCAGAACGGGAGCAACTACGCCTACCTGGAGCAGCTGGAGAGCCTGCTGGCGCGAGGCCGGTCCATCCCCGTGCGCCTGGACGCCCTGCCGCAGGTGGAGTCTCAGGTGGCCGCCGCCCGCGCCTGGAGAGAGAGGACCGCGCGGACCTTCCTCAAGAAGAACTCCACCTACAACCTCCTGCAGGTAGGCCGGAGCTCAGGCGCGGGTAAACGTTGCGTTCGTGTGAAATGCTTAACGCATCGCCACGTCGTTGAGTAAGTAGTTCAGGTGGGTAGCTGCGTCAGCATGCGTAGGCTACAAAGGAACGAGTAATAGGTTGATTCCATGCTGAAAAGAGAAGAAGGCTCCACAGCTGAAACATTGTGTTTTCTTTCTTCTCTTTTCAGCATGGAATAAACCTATTACTTGTTCCTGAGTAGTAGAGTAGTTTTATTGCCATATGTACCCATGCATTGGAATTCTTAATCACGCTGATCTCTCCGGACATACACAGTACAACAGACAGCACCACACAATGTAGACAACGGGAACAACAAATATATTGTGGAAAAATAAATAAATATGTAGTAGTGAGACAGAGGGGAGGAAAAAAAGGGTGGACTGTAAAAACTGCCCTGCAGTTAGCTGTTGTTGGGGATGCGTACTGCAGTAGTGTAGAAGCTGGTCTTGAGTCTAGTGGTCTGTGCTTTAATAGTTTGGTACCGCTTGCTAGAGTGCAGGGGGAGAACAGTCTGTGTCCGGGATGGCTGGGACCCTGATTGATGAATTGGGCTTTATTGAGACAGAGGATGGTGTGAATCTCACCGGTTGATGGTAAATCGCATCCTATGATCCTCTTTGCTGTTGCCACAATCCTTTGTAGTACTGTACTGTACTGCTGTACCACACATTGATTGGAACTAGTGAGGATACTTTCTGTGGTGCTGCGGGTAAAAGTTCATGAGGAATTGCTTCTCCAGACTGCATTTCTTTCAGTTGAATTACCTCGATTGACTGTACACTATTCTAATGCTAAAACCACGTGATTGATGGAGCGAGTCGAGCCACCATCACTTCGATACTTCTAGTTTCTAGAACAGCCGCTGGATAGTGTATGACTGTCGATTTGGAGCACCTCGAGTCGATCGCAAGCATGTTGTTTCAGGTCGTTTTTCGTTAGTCACTAGTGTTTCCCTCCTTTGTAGGCCCTCAAAATTTCATAGGCCTTAGGCCTCATGGGAAATCCGGCACTGCATCTACCCCGGACAAAAGATGGGCAAAAGAGCTTATGTTGATCCTCTTAAGGATCGTACGTTTGTTCATAAACGGGGAACAAAGTACTCATGGATTTTTCATGGTTCTATACATAAATATATCCCTTTGGTGCTTTATGTTATGTATTTTTGCAATTGGAATTTTGGGGGTTTCAATTGTTTCAGAAATGTTTTAATAGCATATGAAAACTGAAACACAATATTCAATTTTTGTCAAACTATCCCAGAGAATTTCACAGTTAAGTAATTCATTGCGCCGTATATCTAATATTAAGTAATTATTTTGGCAACACCATTTTATCCAGCATATTTTTTAAATTGCTCCCGTGTGCTTTAGGCGTCCTGTCTACAGTGTTGTCCCTTTAGACAGGATAGACTGAGCTTCCACAGCTCTTTCCTCAAGGAAACGGTCTTCTGGAAGAATAAGCTCGTGGCGGAAGGGTTCTTGAGTTGAGTTTTTGAGTGTCTCTCTCTGAGAATTCCAGTGAACTTGTTTTGATATTTATAAAACCAACGTTTTTAAATTTTCAGATTTGAGTCTGGAGCCCCTATTCTATTTAACACCAGTCCATAGCTAGGAAGAACAAAGGGGGTCTTTCGTGTCACCACCACTAGTAGGTTTCTGGGACTTCGACTAGTATTAAAGGGGAACTGCAGTCCCAATTTCTCAGACGGGTTATTAAATCAAATTTTTTCGTTAATTTTTCTAGACAAAATTGACAAATTTCAAATTAAGCACAAAAGCGAGAACTTTGTGAAAGTCGCCATGTTGTCCTAACTCGCACAACTTGCGATGTGAAGCAGCCCTTCCTGCTCACTAGTAACCGTACTGACTAATGTAACAATGTAACGTGATGTACAGGTTGTACAGCAGACATTTCACCTCAGAAATGTTCCAATGTGATCTGCATGCAGAGCTAACAAGTAGTATTTGTTGGGAAAAGTCGAGAACAGTATTTCTGTTTGGATTAAAAGAGATGTATTCACAAGCCTGCTTGTTTACAGTGCAATAAAGCCTCTACACCTCAGTGGAAGTTTTGTTGACTCATTCTGAACCGCAGAATATGGCATTGCACATACCTGTAAATTTCATCTTATCTCATCTTAGGTTTTGCAAATGACTGTGTACATTTTACTTTCATTGCAGTCTGAAATGCATTGTTCAATGCTGATTTGTTTTTAACCCCAAAATATAAAAAATACCCTTTGCGGGTCCCCTTTGAACAGCTCACGGAAATGGACACACGTTTGTGCGAAACGGGCAGCGAGCTGACACTGTGACCTTGAATGCGCAGATCAGAGCGGAACAGTGAAACGGGAGGGTTTCAGGTGCTTTATGATCCACGCAGGTGCTGAGCCCCCGTCAGGATATCGGAGTGTATGGGAACAGCAAGAGCAAGCGCAAGAGAGCCAAGGAGCTGCTGGAGAAGGAGAGGGAGCTCGACCTGGAAGGCCTGAGCGATCTGGATGAAGGAACAGAGGAGGCCAGGGATCCTGCTACCGTGGTAAGCCCAGTCGCCGCAAAGACTCTTGGTTTAATAAGCATCTAATGGCCTCTGAAGAGCCATCCTTACTGCTTCTCTCACTGGCTTTTAAATTTGCTTATTTGCTCATTTAGGTTTAATAATAATTATAATAATTGCTTACACTTATATAGCGCTTTTCTGGACACTCCACTCAAAGCGCTTTACAGGTAATGGGGACTCCCCTCCACCACCACCAATGTGCAGCCCCACCAGGATGAGGCGACAGCAGCCATAGTGCACCAGAACGCTCACCACATATCAGCTCTCAGTGGGGAGGAGAGCAGAGTAATGAAGCCAATTCATAGTTTGGGATTATTAGGAGGCCATGATTGGTAAGGACCATGGGACATTTGGCCAGGACGCCGGGGTTACACCCCTACTCTTTTCGAGAAACACCCTGGGATTTTTAATGACCACAGAGAGTCAGGACCTCGGTTTTACGTCTCATCCGAAGGACGGCGCCTGTTTACAGTATAGTGTCCCCGTCGCTATACTGGGGCATTAGGATTCACACAGACCACAGGGTGAGCGCCCCCTGCTGGCCCCACTAACACACTAACACCTCTTCCAGCAGCAACCTTAATTTTTCCCCGGAGGTCTCCTATCCAGGTACTGACCAGGCTCACAGCTGCTGAGCTTCAGTGGGGCTGCCAGTTTTGAGTTGCAGGGGCTGCTGGCCATAGGTTTGCTGTTGGATTCAGTATTTTCTTTGTCTGCTTGTTTCTGGTCTTCAGAGTACTGAGGCTTCTTCTTTTGGGTTCGGAGACCCACGCGTGAAACCCAACAGCCGACGCGCCCGTTGGGATTCGTAATTTTTATCGCCGTACGCTGCCACTCCCTTCTCACGCTTGGCGTTATCCCCCCCCCCTTTGCAGGTGGCCGCCTTCAAAACCAAGGAGCAAAAAGAAATCGAGGCCATGCACTCCCTGCGGGCGGCCAACCTGGCCAAGATGGCCATGGCGGACCGCATCGAGGAGGTGAAGTTCTGCCTGTGCCGCAAGACGGCCAGCGGCTTCATGCTGCAGTGCGAGCTGTGCAAGGACTGGTTCCACAGCGCCTGCGTCCCCCTGCCCAAGACGGGCTCCCAGAAGAAAGGCCTGGGCTGGCAGAGCAAGGAGGTGAAGTTCCTCTGCCCCCTCTGCCAGCGGTCCCGCCGGCCCCGGCTGGAGACCATCCTCTCGCTGCTGGTGTCCCTGCAGAAGCTGCCGGTGCGGCTGCCCGAGGGCGAGGCCCTGCAGTGCCTGACGGAGCGGGCCATGGGCTGGCAGGACCGGGCCCGCCAGGCGCTGGCCACCGAGGAGCTCTCGTCGGCCCTGGCCAAGCTCTCCGTGCTGAGCCAGCGGATGGTGGAGCAGGCGGCTCGGGAGAAGACGGAGAAGATCATCAACGCCGAGCTGCAGAAGGCGGCTGCCAACCCAGACCTCCAGGTGAGACTCTCTTCCCAGATGCATTAGTGGACCTGGGGAAGGCGAACGTCGGAGCTCTGGGGTTTCGAACTGTGGGAGCTGCTCAGTTTTTTGAGTTGGCTAGTTTACCCTCATAGCTCTAGTCCACCTAGCCGTGTAAACGGTTACCTCTGTTGGGTGAGAACGGAGTGCGTTATTGTAAGCTTGCCATGGCAGCACTGAGCCAGAGCACTCGGCACATACCAGTACTCTTGAGGCATATGCCTCAGTAACCCCTGCACTTGATTAGGTCAGCAATCGGGTGAGCAGTGGTGAGCGGAAATGCAAGTTGGCCCACATGACCTACGTCTAGTTAATCCGGTTGAGCTATTCATCCTTACCCAAGCGAAATTTTAATTTATTCAGTGGGTTTTTGTTTGGTCAATTGTACGATCTCTTTTTTTTTCCCTTGTTCACGAGGAAGTCTGCTTATCCCTCAGCTCCGGAAGGATTCCGATAATCGGCCGTTCTTATTAGCTTCAAGCCAGCTACTGTACTGGCTCCAATCTGCTCGGTGCAGGGCTGGGTTTTTTTTGTTGTTATTTTCGCCTCCTGGGATCGAGCCCTTCGAATAACCGTGTTGTTTACGTGGTACCTCCCCAGGGACACATCCAGACCTTCCAGCAGGCCGGCTTCAGCAGGGTGATGGGGGGGTTGTCCACCTCACCACGGCAGTCTGTAGATTACGACGACGAAGAGACCGACTCCGACGAAGACATACGGGAAACGTACGGCTACGATTTGAAGGTGATTCGACGGCACTCAACCGATTTGGTCGCTCTTAGCCTGCCTGTGAGCCTTATTTGTCACGGTTCTGGCCGAGACACACACTCATTTGAACAAATCAGGAAGCCGTATTGCTGGAGGTACCAAAAAAAAATGGAAACGCCAATGTAAAGCCAGCAGCCATATCACTCTGGAGCTCACAGCTCACAGCTGGCAGCCCCACTGAAGCTCAGCAGGTGTGAGCCTGGTCAGTACCTGGATGGGAGACCCCCTGGGAAAAACTAAGGTTGCTACTGGAAGAGCTGTTAGCGAGGCCAGCAGGGGGCGCTCACCCTGCGGTCTATGTGGATCCTAATGCCCCAGTATGGTGATGGGGACACTAGACTGTAAACAGGCGCCGTCCT